AACCAGTACGCAAAAGTGAATTTAATCCCAAGAGTAATACCATTCAAGTTGTCTCAATAATTTCATTAACTGGATCAAATTGGAGTATTAGGTTAGTGAATTTGATTTGTATTCAGTAGTTTTAGTTGGGACATTCTAAGAAAGGCTTGATATAAGGTCGTTCATATATGTTTGTTTTATATTCAAAGGGCTAAATTAATTATTTGTGTCTTGTATAATTATAATATATAATTTACAGGGTTTTTCTATTGAGTTTTTATTTAATACACGTTAGTGGGTAGCATGGATACAACAAGAAATCAACGTAGACGCCAACGACAACATTTGGGTTTATTTTGGACGATGGTCATGCAAGCAATTGTGATAAACAACGATATAAGGCGTCATGAACGACATCTCCTAAGGCTCCTCATAGAAATAGGGATTTTAAAAGAGAAATGACACTTGCACAGATGTTTGAAACGAGTGATAGAACATGTTGTGATCTACTTAGAATGAAAATAGGTTCTTTTCAAAGATTATGTGCTCGTTTGAGAACATATGGATTGGTTGATAGTAAATACGTTCGAATTGAGAAGAAGTGGCAATTTTTTGTACACGGTCGGGCATGACCCACGTAATTGAGCTAGATGTTTTACTTTCTTCAGATCTGGTCAAACATTGAGTTTTTACTTCCATAGGGTCTTACACGCTTGTCTCGGGCTGTATATGAGATGTTGTGATTAATGCCACTATTCATAACTCACCATACGACAAGGAAAATGTGAAGCCATGGTACTCCTTTTTCAAGGTTAGGAAAGTACTTATTGAAATGTATTTCTTAGATGTTCAATATTCTAATGTTTTGAAAGTATTCTTTTTTAAATGATGCTGTAGGAGCAATAGATGGTACACATATTGCTGTGAACGTCCCCTTTAAGGAGCAAGCTAGGTATCGCAATAGAAAACAAGTGATTTCTCAAAATATTTTAGTAGCTTGTACATTTGATATGAAATTTACATATGTGCTTACTGGTTGGGAGGGATCTACACATGGTGATCGATTGTTAAGGAGTGCAATATTACGCCAAGGACAAAAGCTAACAATTCTTTTTGGTAGTTGTATCACTATTTTGAAAATCAAGTTTCTCGTACAAAGGACAATAATTAAATAATAACTATGTCATGGACAATTCTTTAATAGGTAAATATTATTTTGAAGACGTTGGCTTTCCATTGTCTCTGGGATTTCTTGCACTATACTGTAGTACTCGTAGAGACATTGAGGGTCAACGTCCTGAAAGTAGCAATGAATTGTTCAATTTTCGACATTCATCTCTACATAATGTTATTGAGAGGATAATTGGTTTGCTTAAAAAAAGATTTACATATTTGAGACATCAACACTACCACGGCATTGACATACAAGCAAAGATTGTCCTTGTTCTGCCGTCCCCAACTTCTTAAGAATTGATAATGTATAAGATGTTTGTCATGAGGGCTTAGATAGTAGTGATGATGAGGTTAACTCTACACATGTTGATGTACCTCAAGATGAAACTCCAAATGCTCAAATATCTTTCATAGCTCATGAAACATGGTCTAATAAGAGGAATACAATTGATGATTTAATGTTGGCTGATTATCATCCCAACCAGAATGCGACAGTTGATGCGATTGAATGTGGTTTCTTTAATTATGTTCTTATATGAAGGACCTAAACTTGATAGAATTTCATATTTAGTTATTGTTGAAATTGAATACATATTGTTCGACATAATTTTTAATGGTTGACATAAGGTTGCTAGAATTTTAAATGTTATAATTGGAATTGATGTTATTGGAGACAAATTGTTAGATATATATATTTTTACATGCTCTTATGTAATGGTTGGCTACAAAATTATAATCTTGCAATATAGATTTCATGGCACATAATCGACAAAGCTCTTCGGCACCTTCTCATGTTCCTTGACCAACCACCCATTCAAATGTGGAGGAACTAGGCTCAACCCAAGTGGATCCTAATTCTAGGACTCGCCATGTACGTTGGAGTGATGAAATGGATGGTTGTATGATAACTGCACTATTGCATCAAGTGTTGGCTAGTCACAAAAGGAGTGACAATGGCTTTTGATCATATCATGTGTCCAAAGCAATTGAGAGTGGGTACAATGGATGTGGAGTCGTGGTGTCAGATAAGAATGTAAGGACACAATTTGAGACTTTCAAAAAAGAATATGTTGAAGTTCGCTAGTTGTTAACTATGAGTGGTTTTGGGTTGGATTCTAGCATTGGACGTGTTACAACCGATATACTAGCTTGGGAGGAGTATCTGAAGGTATTATATTTCATCGACCAATGAAATTATTAGTCATTACATTTTAGTAGCTTATTTTCTTTTGGACATTGACTACGCATATAACATATCTCCCATCTCTCTTTTTTTTTAGGGAAAATCGGAATTCGGAAAGTGGAGGACGAAACTTTGTCCTTGTTATGATGATTTGGAGGCTATCTTTTGGAAATGATTCTGCTACAGGAGATCGCGCTGTAACCGACAATGACAATTTCTCCCCCATTCATGGTATGTAAAATATCATAAATAATAATTTATACGATTATATTATATAAAAGATTCTAAAAATTTCTTTTTTTTAGATGAAAAATGTGAATGAAGGTGATGGTCAAAATGATTTCATGGATCAAAGCGAAGTTCGTGCTCCTAAGCATGACGTCGAAGGAGGAACCAACAAAATTCGATGTCGACGTACCCAACCCAATGATGAGAGTCTCATTGCCCTATCGAGCATTACCGAATCGTCTTAAAAAATTGCTAATGCTATGGAGATTCAAGTTACATTAGATACGCTAAACCACATCAATTGGCAATTACAAGGCATGAACTTAGACAAGTGTGATGTAATGCAAGTCATGAAAATATTTCAGTCAGACGAGAGTCTAGATAGAGTATTTATGAGCTTGACTGATAAAAGAATTCATGCAGGATATGGTATATGAGAAGCTTGGACGTGATCCACCTCCATTACTTTAGGATAGCGTGCTTGGATAATTTAACAACCATATGTAAAAGTATGATATCTATGTTGGTTTGAATTGCTACTTTTATACAATAGAGATTTTTTGGAAAAAAAATAAACAAAATCAACTAGTGTACTATGCTGGACAAACTTTGTTCATTATTCATTGAATTGATTATTTGGTTATCTAATAATTAGATTTGAATGGAATTTTATAATATGATCCATAGATCTACTTGTATAGTTGGTTAATGTTTTAAGGTTTTCACTTGATTGAAAATTGTGGAGGGCACCAAATCTTTTGAGACAACAGATATGAAAGTTGCTAAACCCCATAAATAAAAGTGTAATACTGTAATTGCACCTGGTTGTATGTTTTTATGGATTTCTTTCATAATCCGAGCCACCTCAATATAATATTCAACGATTTGTTCAAGTGTTTGTTACGTATTAAATTCATCTTGCATCCGACTTATATTTGTGTAGAGATTGAAGGTACCATTGAACAACACTTCTAAAAATTGATTGAATAATTTTCATAGAAAAGTTACAATTTCCATGGAAAAAGTGACAAATTCCATGGTTTTATGGCTATCAAACAACAAAAGTTGGAAAAAATTATTATTTCCATGGAAAATAATGACTATCAAACACCAAAAGATGGAAAATAACAATATTTTTTAAATTAAAAATTAAGTCAATCAAACACATTTAATTGACTTTTTCATGCAAATAATTTCTAGGCAATTCAATTGTCTAAGATTTATTTTCTTTCCCTGTAAATTTCATGTTTGCAATCAAACGCACCTTCAGTGGAAAGGCTTTCAAGTGCGACCAGTAAATCTCTTTTTATCATGTGATTCGAAAAATAAAAGATATTGTCGTGTCAAATTTGTCTTGAAATGCCTATAATATTTGAAATAACCAAAGCTTTAAGCGTTCACTTTAAGCCCTTGTTTAATCCTATTGTTATTTTTTTTTCGAATTGATTTCAACTTCATTTCTCAACTTTTATTAATATATACTAAAATTTTGATTTTAGATAAACCAAACATAGGCTACGTAAAAACGCAAGTTTTTAAATAAACAATTTTTTAATTAATAAAAGTTTAAAATAAGTTCAACTTCATTTCTCAACTTTTATTAATATATACTAAAATTTTGATTTTAGAAAAACCAAACATAGGCTACGTAAACACGCAAGTTTTTAAATAAACAATTTTTTAATTAATAAAAGTTTAAAATAAGTTATTTACATAAAAATTATTATTTTAACTTATAAATTTACAATGTAAATCAAAAAAATTGGAAGAATTTTTCAGCTATAATAAATTTGACAAAATATGAAAAATAAAGAAAATATGGGAAAATTTTAAAATTCGTGCTTAAATAAGCAAAGCGGGAAATGATGATTTCATTGCCACGCTGGCAATCCGTTTCGGTCCAATCTGACCAATAGAAATGGAGACTTGTTTGGCCAATAAGAAAACGCAGAACTGCAATCCGCGTGAAGCATATATTCACCAATCAGAAGCGAGAATTCTTCCACCGAAGTTCTATATATATTAAACTGACATTCTCTTCTATACCACATTACCACGCGAATTCCCTTCTCTGTCAAGATTTGTTCAATTCAATTACTTAAAAAAATCCAACAGAAGTTAACTCCAACAGATCACTATGGGTGGCAATACTACTGCAACCAAATCAATTGGCGGCCGTGGGAATCCCAGATCCAAGGCTGTATCAAGATCTTCTAAGGCCGGTCTCCAGTTCCCTGTCGGCCGTGTCGCCCGTTTCCTGAAAAAGGGTCGTTATGCAGAACGAGTCGGATCCGGTTCACCCGTTTACCTCTCTGCTGTTCTTGAATACCTCGCTGCGGAGGTCCGTAAACGTGCTTTTAATATTTGTTGTGTGTGTGTATAAAATTATATCTGATGTTTGCTGATTTTTGTTATTTGGGTTTTTGATTTCCAGTTATTGGAGCTTGCTGGGAATGCTGCAAGAGATAACAAGAAGAATCGGATTATTCCAAGGCACATTCAGTTGGCAGTGAGGAATGATGAGGAGTTGAGCAAGTTGTTGGGTTCGGTGACAATTGCGAATGGTGGTGTTCTGCCCAATATTCATCAAACACTTCTGCCAAAGAAGGCTGGTGGGAAGGGTGAAATTGGGTCTGCTTCACAAGAATTTTAGGGAATTGCGAATGGTGATGTGCTGCCCAATATTCATCAAACACCTCTGCTGAAGAAGACTAGTGGGAAGGGTGAAATTGTGTCTGCTTCACAAGAATTTTAGGGCTTTAGTTTTGAATGCAAAATGGGGTTATTGGGTTCAAACTGGTTGAATTATTTTGTCTTTTAGATGTATAGTTTTTGCCCTATCTGTGGTGATATTCATGTGGTAGTTGATGAAATGAAGTACTCTTGTTCTGGAATTCATGTCTCTGTATAATCATTGATGCCATTCTGCTATTCAATTAACGTTTCTCCGAGCAATGGAACAAGTTAAAAAATTGAGGTCCTTACAGCTTTTCATCATTTTTAAGGGAAAATTTTTTAGTTAAAATTGAGAACGAATGCTACTCTTAGAGCTTAATTGCACTATTATTCTCCCATAAGGATACAAAGACAATTATTTGAATTGTAAGACGACAACATATTTCAATCCATTTTTTCTCATTTTGAGTATAGAAATGCAAAATGCAAATTATGCTTTTGTTTTCTCATTTTAATCCAAATGACAAATGTATTTTTGAATAGTGATTTGAATTTTTATTTTATTTTTTAATCACATATTTTTTTATCATAACACTGTTACAAATTGTATTTTTTTTTTTTGAAAAACAGGGGCCTCAAACAAGCCCAACCAATCCCAAAAATATGTCCAACACATATCTACTCAATTATTTTTGAATGCATAAAATCATTCACTCTATGAATATAAACATAAACCAACTTATAGTTGGTCCAACTTTTCACCTATAATGAATACTTCTTTATAGCTTATGTTTTTGTTTGACAGACATTTTTTCAAAATATAATTTTTCAAAACTCATTTTCAATCATATATTTTTTAACAAAATAATATTTTTCATTACTTTTTAACCATATGTTTTTATTATATCACTATTTAAAATACATTATTTTCTCAATAATATCCATCAAATACTCTCTAGATGATCAAATTCTTTCTCAATGGGTTAATTTTACTAATAGCCATTGTACTTTGAACTTGATGTCGTCTTAGCTAGTGATGGCAATGGGGTGGGTTCAGGACAGGGTACCCTCACCCCACCCCGCCCCACCACAACACTCCCCGCCCCGCGCCCCACCCCGCCTTAGACGGGGCGGGGAAGGGCTCGAGGTTGGGTGGGGTGGGTACGGGGCAAGGACTTGCTCCGTTTCTTGCCCCATTTGTTTTTTTTTTTTAATTTAAAATACAAATTCAAAATTTTAAAATCTAAAGCAAATAATGTTCAAATTAACTATATCAATATTCAAAGTAAGCACTCGAAACAAAAAAATATCCAAAACAAACAATGTCCAAAACATTTTTTTTTTNGGACGGGACGGGACGGGACGGGGCGGGGAAAATTGCCATCTGTAGTCTTAGCCATCGAACTTGTTACAAATGATAACTGATCTTTACAAAATATTTTATTTAAACGTTTGTAAGCAGTTTAAACTATAAATATAGAGAAATGAGTAGTGAATAAGTGAGTATCATTATGAGTCTCTCGAAATGGGTATATAAAAAGTGGTTTGAGTATTTTATAAATATGAGATAAATGTAGATTAGTTTGACGTCTATTTTTTAACCAACATTCTACGTGTATTATTAAGTTGTAGGATTTAATTGAAAATCCTAAAGGTTTAATGACTTAGCACACGTTCGGTTAAAGATTTATGCGAGCGCGCACACACAAAAATTTACATCCACGTTTTTTTTTTTCATTTTTTATTAGATTAAGTCCCTATTTGACAACCATTAAATAAACTCTTTTTTTGTTTTCTCAAACTCATTTTTAATTAACGACTCTCAAAATAAATATCTTGTATGTGAAGTGTAAACCCAAATCTTTTTCCAATTTTTTAACTGCACTCTCTCTAAAAATGCACTATTCTTAAACTCATTGTCTCTAAAAAACTCATTTTAGTGATTGTCAAACAGGAGTTAAGTCTTCATCCCACCAACATCCGGCTTCTCTCTTCTCCAAAAAAATTGTGTTTTTTTCTAAACGTACATGTCAAAAATATCGGAAGAACTAGAATTGGTTCAACCGGTTCCCTATTTTGCCTCTGGATCAACAATTTTCCATTGATTTTAGACTAATGCAATTTTCTCCAACAATTAAATCTCTGAACAATTCCCAGGTTTTTTTGTTGAATCGATTGATCCAATCCAATTTTGAAAATGTTGAAGATAATCGTCAAAATAAATCAGTGGTCTGAATGACATATTTTCTAAAGTTTAACAGTGAGTTTGAAATAAATTTAAGTTTAGCGTCTAAAACGTAAAATTATGGGATAATTGCAGCAGCAGCAGTATCAAACCTTTCACTTTTTTTGCACACTTTACCCAAATCTTTTATTTGTTCCACCCACGATAACAAACATTTCAAAATGTCGCAGCTGGAGTTCAAGTGGATGAAAACCGTTAATTTGACCAAAAATTAAAAATTTGACTAGATGTTGATTAATTTTAAAAGTGTGAAACTGTAATTTTATATTTTACATATAAAATAACTAAATAAAAAGAATTAAGTCATAAAAAAAAAAGAAAAAAAAAGAAAGAAAACTGCTTATCTTCTTCCTACACCACCCACCCCAAAACAAAAAAATAAAAAATTACCACCTCTGCCATTCCTCCGCCACACACCCACCTCCACCTCCTTCGTTCCTCTACTAAATGAACACCAAAGATATATATGAATGCATATGATAGCTTTTCTAATTTAGTTATGGAATATTCCGAAAACAAAATACGTCTTAAAAGAAACTAAGCTAGCAGAAGGGACTTTGCAATACTAATCTGCGCCATTGGATTTTATATCCATTTATTCACAATGTATGATAACAAAGTCTTCCACCTATATTGATTCTCTGCATTCCCCCAAAGCCAATTGCTATACTAGCAACGAGCTTCAAAATTCACCATCATCTTATGTTTCCATCATTAACTTCATCCTCTACTTGTAGATCCCAAACCTCATTGGAACAAGCCACTCCTTCAAATTGTTTAATAATCCAAGCTAGAATTAGAAGTTGATGATCTACCCCTGTCAAAACAAGCAAACAAGCTGTGCAGAACCCTCCTGAATCCACCCTTATCCCGTGACACACTCCTTCTAGAGCCCCACGAAATCCTTCTTGGAACACCATTATTATTAGACCCACCACGAGAATTAGGATTTGGGCGTTGAAGGGTGGTTTTTGGTGTTGTAATTATAAAGGAGTAGTGGGGTGGAAATAGAGATGGCAATTTTTCCCGCTCCTCCCCGCCCCGTCCTCGTGGGGCCCCGCCCCGAACGGGTTGGAGGGGTGGGGCGGGGCGGAGATGCCCCGCCCCCGTGAAGAATTTAAAAAAAAAATTGTTTTGGACATTTTTTTTGTTTCAAGTGTTTGTTTTGAATATTGAT